AAACTAAATTAAGACCGACCCTGCACTTTCCCAGAATCTAATTCTAACCTAAGCTAAAACTATCACTTTCCAGTAATTATACCAGTGAGAAAAAGCTTGGCCACTATGACATCAAAAATTTGTCCAGTTGGATCTGAAACGGACCATCTTATCAATGGTGTTATGTATCGTTGTAGTAGAGGTCCGATGCATATCTCTATATCCTGTTGCAGAAGTATTGTCCTTTTTGGTAATGAAATCAATATTATTTGATTTTTCAAAGTTAATCTGACGATTGCACTGATCAATCCAGATTTCTTGGGTTTGTTCAAAGAGGAAGTGCATGAAGGCTGAAAGCGTCGCTAATGTGAGGTCTTTTGTTCTCATGGCTACTAAGACGAGATTGTACAATAAACGAAGTATTAAACCTTTAATGAGGGCTATAAGATATGATGTATAATTGATCATTACATGCTATATCAGTAGTAATTGTATTTCTGCAAAGATGTTGTCATCCTTGATTAAGTCTCAGAGAAAGAGTTGGGACTTGTGGATAATAGATTTCATTGAGGTCCATGACGTGGGACATTCCTAAATGTGGTTGAATGTTTCATCATCACTTTTGCACCTGACGCACAGTCAGGTTTGGTTGAAAACGTTCGGATGTCTTACTTTCAGAACTTTTATGGTGAGAAGTAATTCTACTAATCTTTGAACTTTCTTTTTCTTTACGGCTGAAGCTTCGTATGAAGTACAGGCGGTGGCTATGTTGTCATTAAAATAAAAGGCAGTGGCCATCTAATGTATATTGAAGTGGTGGTGTTTGTTAATGACGTTGAGATGATGGAAGTTGTTGTACATTATAGATTGTGTTATATCTTATATGAATAGTCATATAGGAACTGTGACACACATTCCTTTGTAACTGATGTAATGTTGTTTTAGGTATATGAGGTTGAACAGTAAAGCAGGGGAATCGTAACATTACTTTGCCAATTAATCTACTTTCTCATTGTATAAGTTGCCTGAGTGTGCTTTGACTTTATGTAGGACAATAGTTAGACGTTAATTGTCTATAACTTCGAAGAGGCTAAACCAAAGTGGGTAATTTGTAATTTTTAATAGAGGTCAAATGGACGGAGAGAAACATCGGATATTTTTGAATTTGTTATATTGCTGTATAACAGCCTGTGAGTCTGTGTGAATGGTGACATGACAATATTTAGGTGCCACAAGGATGGCTGTAAAAATTGCTCCTAACTCTGCCGATGATAAAGATGGAAATGAGGTAACAAAAGCTGAAGAGTAGGAAACCATCGGGAAATTTTAGTTCGTCTATAGCCAAGCCAGTCCCATTCTAATTATAGGAGTACCAAACCCGTGAGAGAACCATCTGTATAAAACGTTAGTTCCTGGGTTAACTCAAATTGTTGTGAAAGTATTAGTAATTTGTGAAAGTGTGAACTTGAGACATAATTGTAAATCAAAGATAAGGGGGTTGGACGTTGATAGTTTATTAGTGGCCTGCTAGTAGATGAACTATTGACATGGTTATATTTGTGACTTGCCATCAGTGTTGGCATCTAGACTATGTCCAGTAATTGTCTTTATTGGACTGGACTGGATTGGACTGGACATATCATAAAAAATAATTCAGTTCCAGTCCGGTTAATCACATGATTGGAATATGTCCAATTGTATTAACTAGATTAATTGGAATATGTCCAATGGATTAAGTAAAATGTCCAATACGATATCTAATATTATAGTTTAATTATTTTATAAATTTACTAAATGTACTTTTATACAAACTGAATTTTATTTGTTACAAAAATTATTTTTATCATCGATTTATAAATTGTTTACATATTCAAGCACTTCTAATTCTACACTAAATAAATTTTCTAGCTTCTATTTTGCTGTAAAATCTCGTTGAGGATGTTTATACTCAGAAAGATAATTATCAATATCAAAATTCTCCATTTCATTACTTTCATCCTCTAAATCAGATTCATCATCTAATATTTCATTTCTTAACATTTGGTTCCATAAATTCATTATTCTTTCAAAACTTAATTCATTACCATTTATATTATTTTCGCCACCTGTAATTAGTTGATTAAAATCAGCATCATCATCATCATTATCGTCACTATCATCATCGCCACCATCATCATCATCAGAATCTTTATCATCAGCATTTTGATTACTATTATCACTATTATTATCCAGATTTTTTTCATTAGTAAAAGCATTATTAAAGTGATATAATTGTTTTATTTGCTCTAAATCATGATTTCGATGTGCTTGATCAATGACGCCCTTTATTTGAGCCATTTCCAGCACCTTTTTATACTAAATAAAATTAAAATTATAAATAAATAATATAAAAATGTTATTTATAAATAAGATATTTTGATAAACTTACATGCAACCGGTTTCTCCTAATTGAATGCAGGTGACCTATTGAAGACCATAATCGTTCTACAGAAGCAGCATTTACACAAATACTTGCAATTCGACATGCTACAAAATCCAGCTCCTTTGATTTAGTTGAACACCATTGCCAATATGCAAATATATTATCTTGAAATTGATTAACACAAGAATCATTAAATGGAAATTTTTTCTGACTATAATTCTAAAGTTCACATAAAATAGTTGTAGGTTTTTTGCCTGTCCATGCAATATAATAATATTGAATGTATTGACTCAGATCAACCCAGTTCATTTTTGGTAAATTAATATTGAATCTTTCAAGACGATAATGAGGATTAAGAGCCTAAGAAAGAATTAACAATGGCTGTTCCTATTGATACCATCGCTTTTCTAATCGTTCACATAATTTAGCAGATAAAGTTGCATCCGGATGATTAGATAATATTTTGTAAAAATAACCAAAAGAATGTAAAACTTCGAAAAGTCTAGCCTTATCTCTTTGTAAAATATTTAGATAAGCACAATAAGGTAAAAGCAAATTTTTGATAGAACGAACTGTTTTCCAGAATTCCTCATCATTAATAGGATCACAAATGGAATTTGGTAATATTAATTCATCAACAGCTTCTATATTTTCATTATTAGTATTTTTACGCCTATTTCTGTGATTACTATCGCTGGATTCTTCACCAGGATCTAAATAATCTTCTTCAATTCTTGGACTATATTGGCTTACTAGATTCTATGATTAATTACAACATTAATTAATTTATAATAAAAAAAAAAATAATAACAAAAATATGTATAATATACCCATACCTTTAAAGCATCATGCATTTTTAAAAGACTACTAAAACAATAATAATAACTATTCCATCGGGTAAACCCTGGTATAACCAAATTCTGATATTTATTATACATAGATTTTTGAATTTCCCGTAATTTTCCAATAAAATAAGTATGATTTTTACTAGTAAAATAATTTGAAATCGTAACAGCCTTTTTTGAAGCTTCTCTATAATTAGTAGATTCTTTGAATATTTCTCCCACACATAAGTTAGCTTGATGTGCAAAACATGGGAGATAAACTATTGATGGATTATTAAGTTGAAGTATTTTCCTATTTTTATAAAAAATAGAAGTAAATTAGTTTATTTAAATAAATATAATAAATTAATAATAAAAGTGTAAAAATATTTACTGTGCTGCAGCATAAGAGGAATGGCTATCAGTTACCACTGCAGATATTACAATATTTTTTTTAGCAACATCATCAATTAATTCCGTTATTTTTGCCTTTACTTCCTCAGTTCTTGCTCGTTCAACACTAATATCTTTTGCTTTTCAAATTAATACTTCACCCAAACTAGTGATCAAAACACTACCTAAAATATTTTGTTTGGCTACATTTGTCCAACCATCCATTGTTATGGTTACTCCATGAATATCAGATTTCGCCTTTTCTTGAATTTCTTGAATAAGATATTTTGAAGCCTTTTTTAAAATTTTTCCGCTAAGACATTTGCGACTTGGAAGTTTAGCTTAGGGATTAATAAATTTGAACAAAGCAATAGAATCTGGATTTTCTACCTATCTAAAACTCCAACCATTTGATATAGATGCTTTTAAAAGTAGATAATAAAATTTATCAAAAGTTGTGTCAGTAAAATGATGATATACAAATTTATCCATTGGACCACTATCTCTAGAAGTAGAAGTAATATGTGTGGATATGCTTGAAATTGATGAATGACATGACACATTTGATGTAATAGCTGAAGTATTGATATCTGAAGGCATCATGAGATCATTATCGTCAGTTTCTTCATTTTTACCTATATGTCAAATTAAATAAATATTCCTTAGTTAGACACATTAGTATTATTTTCATTTTTATTTTTTCATATTCAACTTACCAAAACCTTCATAACGCATTCGTTTTTTTTATTTTGTACTCGTTGCTTTGTTAATTCATTGTCAGTATCTTCAATAATTTCTTGTGCTCTCTTTATTCCATGTATAGCTTTAAAATTCTCACATTTAGTTAAATGATGTTTACAGAGAAGCTTTGTGTTAGCAAATTTGTTTTCATAAGCATATTCATAATTTACTTTAATTTTATATACTTTGCAAATAGCAAATTTATTACACGAATTTGCTTTCTCATTTAAATTGTTCAATAAAAACAGTCAAGCGATGATGTTGTGACATGTTATAAAAAATGCTGATTGATCGATCGTTAAAAAAAAGATTGATAAAATTTAATAATGTGACTATCATTTCACGTGACTTTCTACTCTAAAAATGATTGGCCAATTTTGATAACATAATCATTGGACATAAACTTTATGTCCAGTATTATAACATCCAATGGAATGGAATTGATCCAGTGGATCAATTCCAGTGGAACATTCCAGTCCATGTGCTAACACTGCTTGCTATATCCCTTATAAATGGTAGTGACCAAAAGCAAGTGTGATTTTTATTCCTGTGATACATTGAAATATTTATACAAATCCTGATAGGAACTGTAAAAACACAGTTGTATCGTCTGAGTTTCAAGGAATTCTTTTTGAACAATGTAGGGTTATAACGCAGACAGCCTTGGCAATGTTGTAGTGTAATTTCGTTGTTGACTATTTGATAAGTGCAATGTATAATATCGGCAAAGCTTCCTGATGTTTTTAATATCTGTCTAAATAATAAGTTGTCGATTGTTTGATGTCACAAAGTAACATACAAAAATTTGTTGGTATTTATATTGTCAGTCATATACGAGAAGTTCTGGCTGTGATCTTGTGCTATTGTTATATCAGGAGGTAGTTGTTAGTTCACATCTATTCTCAGTGCTTCCTTTATAGCTGAATACCAGTTTAGGATTCTACCTTTGTTCGGTATTGAAGAGAAGGATTGTAGGTCGTTCATACTGAGCATATATTTGCAGTCTTTTGTTAAGAGTTGCTCCACAAATAAGATAGACATTTTGGCTAGAATAGAAGAAAATTTCCTGTAGCTGTTTGGTATAATGGACTGTATCGGGTAGAACCTCCTAGTATACGCCTATAGACATGATCTAGTGGAACTATCTTTATATTGAGTTTTTTTAAGTCACATAAGAGGCCTGGAATCTAATCTTTGAAATATTTTGAGTTTTTAAAGGGCCACTCTCTTAATGGAGACGATGGTAGCCATTCCTGTAGTCATATTTGCTGGAGTCGTATGTGGGTGGTTTGGCCTAGTAGACCATTATCGTTTACAGCATATAGGAATGCATCACTAAGAGTCTGTGTGTGTTTATAGTGTAAATGAGTAATCCCATAAAATAGTTTAGAGTAAAACGAACATGATGGGATGTCTCTTGGAAGGTGGAGTTTCTTCTTGAGGAGGGATCTAAATGGTCTAACAATGCAGTTCAAAGCGTTTTCTAAAAGGTACACGAGTTGTGTACGATATTCAACACGTGGGATTATGACTACATTGTATGTATAAGTTAGCTGTTTGTCCGTTAGCCTTTTATTGGTTAGTATTGTAATAGCAGATTTTACATCTCGAACGGCTTGATTGATAGTGAACATCTTATTGCATTGCAGTGAAATCCAAATACTGAGATATCGTATTGAGTCTTTTGGTTTGACTGAAGTTATCACATGATCATTATTACGCATATTAGTGATAATTGTTTAAGTGTCTGACAAGTTTGTCAAAAGGTCCGATTTAGTCCAGTTTACTTGTATGCTGTTCAATTCGTAAAAGCTGTTCGCTATGTCTATTAAGATTCAGTTCGTACATCTGGTTTCCACCTGACTGACATATTATATCCTAAGTTTGAGAATTGTATCTTACATAAGAGTGGATTGTAATAGATGCACCATAAAAGAGGAGAGATAATTTCTTCTTGGTCGATACCTGAGAAAACTTTATATGTGTTTGTATTACCAAAGGCTGTAAAAACTTGATTCTCCTGAGGGATGAACATGTTGAGAATAAAGTATATGAATCCTTTGAGAAGTTTGAATCTTTCCAAGACTCTGACTAATATAAATACATTAATCCGATCATAGGCTTTGGACATATCTTGCAATAGGATCCACAACTCCTTTTTGTTAGTAAGCACATCATGTTTGATATTATCAAAAATATGTAATGGTTCGAAAGTCGATTAAAATGGAAGACCTGCGAAATTGTGTCCTTTTACAGAGGATCACCAAAAGTCTCTGAACACTTTTTGGGATAACATAAAACTCAAAATTTAAAGTTAAAACTGAGAAAAATCAATAT